AGCTCAAACTAAAGTCAATTTTACAAAATATTCTCTCTTTAAAGGGCCTGTACCTTATTTTGAACCAAACGTCAGAAACATATTTGAGCTTGAACTGTACTGAACTGAACTTTGTGCCACACTGACAGAAATAACTGGATAACATAGACCCATGCTGTTGTTTCCACGTGATTCTCATCATTCTCCACCCACGTTCTGTTTCTACTTTTATATTGCACTAGGACAGGAAATCATTTGTCTGGGATAGTATCAGGCAGCTGTTTTCCCATGATTCTTAGCAAACAATGTGCCTGATTGGATGAAAACAGGTGTCCCTGTCAGTAGCTTCTCTGTTAGTTATTACTCAGCCGAATGCTGTGCAAAAATCAACAGGACTTTTTAACTCATGATCTGTGTTTTGTTTCTTTCTTTGCTTGATAGTGACCTGACTGTAAGAAGTGGTAAAAAGTAATCAGGTGTTTTTATTCTCCAAAAGACTATCTGTAATATTGATAATTGTCAAAATATTGGTATCAAATCCATTGGTATAGTTCTGGTTCTCTCTCTCACAGCTCACACAAATAATAAAATATAAAATGATTTGTATCTTTGCAGAAAATGATTAGGCAGTGAAATATTGTGTAACTTGTTTTATTATTTCAAACCTTGTATAGCATTGTTGTTAATTTCTTGCACACTTTGCCTTCATTTGCTGATTAATTGCTTGTTATTACCTTTACTTATGTTCTCAAGTGGACCACATATGTTATTTATGCTGCTGCTTCCTCCTGCCTGCCTCGGGTTTGGTCCTGCACACAACATCATCCATCATTTCTATCTTTTCCCCATTCCCCCTCCACATCAAGAAGAGGGTAACCATGGAAACGGCGCGCAAGTGTGACCAAACACACTTTTAAAGCTATCCATAATTTAAGTACCTGATGCTCAACACTTAATACATGGTTTGCTCTGAAACTCCTCAACAGGACCATGAACACTCGTATTGATCACAGGCTCCTGAAAATGTCTTGTTTAAACCCTTTTTTATAGTTTTCTTGAGTTTGTTTCTTGAGTTGTTTCGATCAGAATTCATATTTGAGGAGTAATTTTATATTTTTTTGTGTTAAATGGCAATGATTATGCTCACCAACTTAATATTGAAATGTGTTTTTTTATTTGTCATGATTGAAAGTAAGTGAAATTGAATAAAATAATAAGATACAGGGGAATATTTATTGTTTTGTCATATTGCCCAGTCCTTACCCATGAGTGACACACAGCCGCACCATTAGATTATATTACAGTAGCATTACTAGCTATCTCTAATCAGTATCCTACAGTAAATCAATATAGATTTCATTAGCACTGATTGTATTGAATGGGCGAATGTTACGTACAAAAGGCAACATAAACTCAGATATAAGCTTTTCTCCACTGCCAGATGGGGCCTATAGAGAAGATTGGAGGGGGGGTGGACACTCGCCTTCATCAGCTCATAATACTAACCCAATATGCTGCGCTACAGACAGAAATAATCTACAAGGAGATAGAAAGAAGTGGTACTTTTCCTGCTTGAAGATGAGTGCACCAGGGGAGGCAAAGACAAGTGACTCATAAGCTTGGCAGAGTTGGAGATAGACAGAGAACTACATTTGAAGCTGTTTCTAGATACGGTGTGCCTATTCCATTATTGTTCCTATGTCTTTTTTTCTTTTTTTTTTGGAGATTTTGTCAGCAATTAAATAAAAAATATGCTTTTACTTTAAGGGCACTATACCTCTTTTTTACTGTCTTTTCCAAAGTTATTCCCTATGAATTCCAAGCATCCTAATTATTCACTGCGATGTGTTTCTAGGAGTTTTTCACAACTCTCAATAACCAACTGAGACAACTAGCATGAAAACAGTGCTCTTCCTGATTCTTGCACAATATATGCTTTATAATTAGCTGCAGACAGCACACAGTGGTTTTAATTTTACCTCAAGAGCTGCTTCTAAAATATCTGTGCTGGGGCAAGATATTTTTTTCTCTTTCTTATAGTTGAACCATTCACCTAATATGGCAACCAAAAAGCTTTGATCTGATCATTTAATATTGAGTATATGGTAGTGATTTTCTTTCATAAACTTTATTTTCTCCATCTGTGCACAATCTCTGTTCCATTTTTATTTGCCATTTTCCCTACCTCTGAGAATCTCAATAGTGGAAGATTCAATGACCGGATGAAATGTCCCTAGGCTATGTCAATCTGGCAACCCTTTCTGCCCTTCTGTATATTGTTTTTATAGATGCTGCCCGCACGGATAGCATGTGTGCCATTATGAACTAGCCACTATCCACCAGCTTCTCATTAGACTCTATGGAATTGTTCCATTTCTTTTACCGACCACAGGGAAGCATATGAGGTCTACTGTTGCCCTATATGAGCAAAGGGCCATCAGTGCTTAGCATTAAAAGAGCCTCAGAGGTGTAGTTAGCAATGTGGTGCAAGGCGGACAATGTAAGCCATCCATTTTATTGCTAAGACTCTGCTGGGAAGATCTAATTTTAGAAGTAATAGTGAGAATATTGCCTCATAAATCATAATAAAAAAAAATGTAAAAACAACATAAACTGATTAAAAGACATATAGCTGGTTCATGCTTGTTTGTAGTTTAAGCCAAGGTTGTACATAAAAAAGGTGCACTGTGAACATTTTCAAGCAGGTGAGTCACCATGGAAATTATTGCTTTGCCGAGAATGCTCCATAGTAAGGCATTAGTAAGATGTATGTATCTCACATTTATTCAGTTACAAGTGTTTCAATGCTCTGAAAAAAAAAGAAGAAAAAAAAAAAAAGGTTGCCACTTGAAATATCTGAACTATCTGACCTGTAAATTGGCCTGGTGGTGTCAACTGCTTGTAACCATGGAGATATAAATTTAATGCCATACTGGGAAATATTCCTAGCCTGATTCATCAGCCGGTTTCATGTGGAAATCATCTGACCTCGCAGCATTAGGATTCATTCGCTCGACGGTAGGTGGGTACTTTTTTATTTAACCAATTGCTGCTGTTTGATCGTGACATACTGTATGTAATGTGTCAAATCCCATAGGAAGAAAGGCAGTAATGTCTTTCCCCTTGATAAAATTCACCAGTTGTTCCAGCTTTGAATCCTCGATTTTAGGAATTGTTGCCAACACAGAATGTATGTCTTTGTCTACATCCATCTCGACCGCTTTGTTTACTGTTGTGCTGTGCCACAAAAGGGACCCAGACAGGCGCTTGAGTTTGATGACATGGCTTCACAGCTCTTCGCTGATTGGTTAGTGCGCAGTCTACAACTTCCAGGGTTCTTGCAGAGAGAGAAATGAAATTGAGAGGAGGCACTAGGTGGTGCCAGCCTGGCTAAAATATTCCTGGCATTAGCAACTGCAGACAGTGGCAAACCATCCACATGCACCTTTAGTACTGGCACTTCTGTGGTGGTGACGTTCCCACAGGTTTTAGAGTGATGAAAAATGGACACCACGAATTACAACAATAAACAATAAAAAAAGAAATATCCTTAATGAATGTTGAAAAGTCCTTAAAATGGCATCCAACTTTGTGTTTGTGTAGTACTGGAAGCTACTGAAAAAGATTAGACCAAAGCAAAACTGAGATGTTCCAAGACCTTTTAGCTATAACACTTTAGAGTTATGTTGTGTCTGTGTAGTCCAACATAAAATAGCCTGATCCCTCTAAAAAAAAACAGCTACAGCTACATTTCAAATAGAGCTGCTAAACTGGGCAGTGCCTGGACAACTAAAGAGGAGAGGGAGGGGAGGAGACTGGAGGTATAAGGAACAATGATTGGTCAGAAATAAACACTTTGCCTCTGCAGCCAGGTCTTTATAATGGGCTCTAAACAGAAACACATGATGTTACAGGTCTCATGTATACTGGTCACTGGAGGCAACACACACTTAGTTTTTGACCACAAATTTTCAAATTTATATTCAAACATGAGGAGCAGTAGATTTTGCCAGTAAAACACCATCTAGACAAATTAATAGTGTATAGATTCACTTAAAGGGCCCTTATTACATTGTTGTTGTTTCCTCATCAAAAACATACTTGGAGTTGTGTTTTGTTTCATTCACACATGTTTAACATAAATTCTGCATATTTAGGCAGAGTTTTTCTCTGTAACTTTAAATACGCTGTTCAACCTTGTGATACAGGAAGTGCTCCATTGTCTTTTTAAACTCTGTACACTTTCACTAAAATCACCAAGATAATTTCAGCCTTGGAATTGCCAATCTATACTGAACTAAAAAGGAAGCTGTTAACTTGAAAACTACAACTATATGACATCACAAGGTGGAAGTGAGCATCTCCAGTGTCCTCTTGTGGTCTACTGAGGAGGAAGCCTCAAGAAGAAGGACGCCATGCGGTTGGATAAGATGGTGAGGAAGGCTATAGTGGGTGCAGAGCTTGATTCACTCACTCCCGTGGTTGAGAAGAGGGCCCTAAATAAGCTCCTCCATCCTGGATACCATCACCATCACCATACAGGAGAACACCTTTGGGGACAGCCTCTTGTCCCTGTCTTGCTCCAGGGACTGACTCTGGAAGTGGTTTGTCCCACACACCATACGGCTATTCAATGCTACACTATAATTTGATCAACGTTTATAAATTAATGTTATGTATTATATTGTGTATTGTATTATGTACTGGATTGAATGCTGTCTGAAATACACATTTCCTTATGGATAATAAAGTATCTATACAGATAAAAGCTCTGGGATCTTTAAATGTGGATTATGTAACTTTTCAGAGGAAGTTCTGCTACCTACTCACATTAAACATGTCTAACTTGCATTTATTGAATTACTCTGTTGCTGCTCAAATACTATGGAAAAACATGATCTTCAAATCTGAACGTGACACTAGGGTATCAGAACTCTTTTTTTTTTCCATTCTGATGCTGCCACCTAATGGTACAAAGCAAAAACACACAATTCTAATTAAGTATACTTTCTGTCATTTATTTTTACAGTCAAAACAAATTGCACTGTTTTAAATTTGTGAAGACATTTTCTTTTAAAGTGTCAAATATTTTCTTGAATTCCATCCTCCATGCAACATTTGCTGACATCTTGTAAATAAGCCAACTCTCTAATGCCCTTTACTGTACGCCATAGTTTAGATCTAAATGTCAATATATCACTATAAGTAGCTTCAGTGCCAGCTAACTGTGTGAATGAAGTATTCTGACATTTTCGAAAGGTTACAGAGACCATTTCATCAATGAGAGTCCACCATGAATAAAGGTAACTCAAGCTAATAACATTTGATTGGGCTCGACTGGCGAAGGTGAATGAGCGGACCACCAATAACTGTCTGTTTAACCAAGACAAAAGGGAGGAGACATAGTAATATTACTGTCAAACTATTCTAATGTTATTGTAATGGATGCTGTACTTCATGTGGGTTTATGTGTTTGTTTTTTATGCATAAATTAATTGAGATTTTCATATTTCAATTGTGGATCATTCATTAAAAAAACAAATATCTTACTTTGGAACACAAAATAAATAGACTAAAATCATATTTTGTTTGCTTCTGTGTTTTTTATTGCTCTGAAAACATGTGTTCTTACTGTGAGTGAACTTGTAACTCCACCAACCTGACTCTTATTTAGCCTCCACCTGCTTCTCTCCATGGAAATATTGTTCCTTTTGTCATAATTGTCACTCGGTATGACATAAAACTTAACTCCATGGAGATTTTGATTTCTTTCAATGCGAGATAGGGCCAGAGATAGGGTGGTAACTGAAGACACTAGCTATGACTGTTAGCTGTTGACGTAAAGCTTATTATGTTGAGGATTTAGCTTGGAACTGTTACAAGATCTTTGGGTTAGTCTCAGTTTGAGGTATTTTCTATTATAATATGTTTTTGTGGCATTTTAATCTGTAAAGTTAAGGTGGGTTTGTTGTGCTGGTGTTTTTAGTGAGTGCATCATTCATTACATTGTTTTTCAGATGAAATTCAAATCTACAGTATCTTTATAAGCTTTGGCAACACATTCAGTCAAGGCACACTGATTGGCTTGATAACAGTTCTTATGTGAGGTGAAACTAAATATATCTTTAAAATGCTGGTGAGGGTTACTGCATTATATTAACAACAATCTTTACATAACACTTAATAAGTCGGTATAGAACATCACAGTCTCTAACCTATAAAACTAAGGTGTATTTTATGATAGAATGGCAGTTTATTACATTTACTAAACGTTTTGCTAATGCGTTATAGAACTGCACCAAATTAGCTGCAATATTAATGCAATGACTTTAATATAAATAACTACTGCTACCTAATTGCAATTTCAGTGTTCTTCAGAAAAATCTGATATTTCTTAACACACTGTAATCAAAAGAGTTACTATTATGTTTCTTCATAAATAAGAAAATGTCCTTGCATAACTTAGTAACAATTACATTCAAGTTTCTGAGTGTTCGCTGATGTCACTGTCCAGTAATTGTTCAGGTGGTTGTCGGTTCCAGACCTCAGACCAGATTTAAATCATCTCGAGAGTCTACCAAATGTTTTTATAGACTTGTGTATTCACAGTATCTTTTAGTTCCAGGTATATTGTTCTCTTGTTTTGTTCAAGGTCTGTCTATTTGCCTGTAACCGGGTTTTTCCTGGAGCTATGATGCTGTGCCACTCCATAGGGCACATGGGCAGCGATTGTACCCATTTCAACTGCTCCTTCCACATGAAACATCTGATCATCAAAGTAAATATGAGGGCGGATCTTCTCCAGCATGGGGCCCTTGGGAGCTCCAGCCAAGAACAGGGCCTCATCAATCTCCAGGCCCCAGGCTCGGAGGGTCTTCAGCGCTCGGATCCCAGAGCTGGCTGCGCTGCGTGCAGTGACCAGGAAGGTGCGGATGGGACAGTCCAGACGATGACCTTTGGCGTAGAACTTCTTCTGCAGTTTCCCCAGAGCCTCAAGGAAGCCTTTCAGAGGACCCTGTGTCATAACAATGCATTAGTCCATTTAAAATGAGTTCAATAAACTTTGTGGCTTCAATCTTATACTCATACTGGCTTTTCAACTAATACTTATCAGTAAAAATCAAGTACAATGCCTTCCCCAAAAACGGTATCGGTCAGTAAACACATCACACGTGGTTGGAGATGGGGAATTGAACATTTTCAACCTTCTTATATTATATTCAAGATTTTTAACTGTTGTAATGAACATACGTACATGATCCAGCAGTGTGTCTTCATTGTCTTTCTCGTGTTCAAAAAACTTGTCAAGTCCGTGGGCTTTGAAGATACGCTCGGATTCATCTGAGAAGAGGACAGCATCTCCATCAAATGCCACCCTCAGCTGAGACTCAGACACCTCCGTCTGCTTCTCAGGCAGGAACATGGTGGCTGCTGCAATACCTGAACAGAAACAGGGACATGTTGATTATTATCCCAGGAAATCTGTCCTCTGCATTTGACTCATCATTTTGAGTGCTCAGGTGAAAACCCATCCAGACATGGGGAGAAACATGCAAACTGCTGTAAGGTGATGGTAAATGATAGTGTGCATATATACAGCATTATTACAAAAACTCAGGAGAAATTGACTTTTCTGAGCTTTAAGCCATGTTACAATGTTGTTACCTCCTCAAAAACATACCTGGGGTTGTTTTGTTTCATTCACACGTTTGAGTAATCCTTTACTATCAGTCTGTGTACACCTCCATCTCCATCTCTGTTCCACCTTGTGATGTCAGGCAGTGGTAGTTTCCAAGTTAACAGCTATATTTTACCTTTTTGTTCAGTAGAGATTGGCAATTCTAGGGCTGAAATTATCTTGATGATTCTAGTGAAGATGTACAGAGTTCAAAAATACAGTGGAGCATTCCTGAATTACCATACGGCATCAAAAGGTGGAAGAGTGTTTTCTGTTTGAGAAAAAAAACAGCCTAAATATGCAGGGTTTTTGTGTTAAGCATATGCGAATGAAACAAAAGACAGTTCCACTTATGTCTCTGATGAGGAAACAACAATATAAGATAAGAAATTGGCGTAATATGAGCCCTTTAACACTCATTTTGACTTTTCAACAAAACAGTGCATAAGACCACATTGCAGAAATGAATGGCTGACTCAGACAGGTTGAATGAGGGCCTATGAACAGCAGGTACTTGTAATGGCAGCGGGGAGCATCAACAAAGGCTCCATGGATAATTAGGGGCTTTCATATAAAATGTCAAGATCACTTCCTCTGCCTGCCACTGCTCTGTCTATGCAGGGACTGTTGTTCTGTGGGCTTTGTGCTCCCCACTGCGATACTATGTTAAGCTCGTAAGTCACTGAATCTGTGTGTGTAAGGGTGTGTGTGTGTGTGTGTGTGTGTGTGTGTGTGTGTGTGTGTGTACCTGTGTGCATGTGTGTCTGTGAGGGGGTGTGTGGGGGTCACCTTGAAGTGTAATGGATTATATGTGCCTTTATGCAGCAATGACACACATTTATTGTCAGATCTAAATAAAGCCATTGTGAAAAGTTTGAGCTACAGTCAGTCACATAGTAATGTCATCTGATATATAGTGTACTCATGAACAAGGGAGTGTGATATATCACAGCGAGCAATGCATGTACGAACATATATTAACAAGTGAAAGCCAAAATAAGATCACTCAACACCTCAACCTGTTTGTTTCCATGGCAATGTTCCATATGGCACTGAAATGTCATACTGAACATTGCTATGGAGAACATTTTCATAGAAATAAGTCGGTCAATGACAGATCAGATATGTGGAGAGGCAAGCCTGGTCACAATGAGAAAGCATGTTTTTTGTTTGGTTTGGTTTTGTTTGTTTTCTGCAGTGAAAGCACCTATAATCAAGTAAATGCAAATCAGTCATCTCTTTATCTGCTTTGGTGTTTAAAGAGCATCAAAGTGTTCCATTACGATGGTTGTAGTTAAGGTTTTTTTTTTTTTTACACAAATTAAATTCGTTGTATTCTTTACAAAACAATAAATTCCAGTCCAAAAATTTTCTGGGGAAATACAGCTCAAAATTACATCCACTAAATTTGAATTCTGGTCTGATGACACATGTTGTATTGTGTATTGTGCTTGCTTTGTGTCTGCATAGTTTCCATTTTCTTTTGAGAACATCTCCCTTAGATTTATTTATTTTATTTATTATTTTTTTCCTATCATTTAATTTCTGCTCCTCAAATTTCACATCCACTGTTTACTGTGACCTCTAGGGCTGGGTATCATTAAGAAGTTGCCGATACGATACATACCTCGATACACAGGCCACGATACGATACATATCTCTATACAGTGCACTTTCGATTCAATATGATATATTTCAAATCGATTCAATACAGTTCAATAAAAAATAAAGGCTAAATCGTGGCTGTGACACTAAAAGTCTTTGTTAAACCACTGCTTGTGCAAAGTTCATATGAAACACAAATATTTTAATCATCAGAACAGTAAAAATATCAAATGTGTTGCATAAATGAGCTTCCTTTCACTCCACAAGCAACAAAACAAAATAATTTAGCAAAACACACCTAAAAATACTCTTGGTGATATATCGATACAGCAGCCCACGATATCGATACTGTATCATCACATGAAACGATATGATATATCGATATTCCGATATTTTTGCACACCCCTAGTGACCTCCAAAAAGAAACAGGGACATCTTGTAATTTCTGTGACAAAAAGCGCTCCATTTCAAAACAGAATGCATATGGTGAGGTTCACAGAAAACAAATTGAATGTCACGGCTCACTGGTATTTCTCTCACATGCCTCTTGATAGTCCTGGATGTGTTAGAATTCATCAAGGAAACCCAAAGATAGCAAAATATTCAATATGCTGATTTATGATAATGTGCGGTGCACATGAAGAACGTGTCAGTCAGGGCACTTCATTATGCACAGGGTAGAGGGGTTTTGGAAATGAGCCTGCAGCGTAGTGGTGGTGTACGGTAAATGTGTCAAATACAATGTGTAACAATATATAGTAAAACATAATATAGATTACAATACAGCAATCTCAACACTTTTTTTCTACAATCAAATTGTTTTATATAGCGTTTTAGCCTCTACCCACACTTGGTGATGGTAAGCTGTCCATATAATGTAGTTACACCTGCACCAAAAACATCACCACCTGACCTACTGACTGATTGAGCTTTGATAGATTAAAGATATTTGAAGTAACAAATTAAGTTATTTTTGTTAAAGAGGTGGTATTTTACTTCTATGGGGTCTAACTAACATATTTAGATCATCATGTTACATTTTATTGTTTTGAAGATGGAGTATTTGCTGGAAACAGCGTATTAACGTGTGTTTGTGTTTTTTTTTTTTTAAGTTTCACTTTCATTTTTGGTGCTCTGAGTCCCTCCTCCCTTGCTCAATATACTAAATCACTCCCCCTTCAGAGCGCTACCACAACACAATCAGCATGTATTCTGCTAATAACACAACTGCACAGTTGTGAGTTGTGAGGCTGTATCATGCTTTTGTATATTATTATTATCATAATAATAATAATTTATCATGATACAAAAAATGATTACAACTTCCTTAATTTATTTGATTGTGAATGTGAATGCAAAAATTGTTTATTGATGGTGAGTAACAAAAATTGGTCAGGTATATAATTCATTCAGTCAAAACATGTCTGCGGTTAAAAAGTCCAATTCAGAGTAAAGTAATAAAAGATTTCTCCATTTTGAACAACAGATGGCAGCACTCTACCAGATTTCATCTCAGCTCTTTCAAGTTTGATATTTTTAGCAATGTACATTTGTGTGTTCAGTTAGAAATAAAGAGCCACGTACAATTTCCCCCCACTTATATATTCCTAAACATGTTTTTGTGCTGTTTGTAATGATAACTTTGTTGTAGCTGAAAAAGTAGCATGTCGCCTTAATCTACAGATCAACTTCAGGCTTCAACTCCATTTAATGAAGGTTTAGACAATGACTGCCAATGTGTTAAGGCACTAATGTGTTATACAGCTGAACTGGTCTAGAGCATGCTTACGTCAGTGCGCACGCGCATGCTGTTTTTGTTTTTGTTGCCACGTGTGTGTTTCAAATTTGCATCATTGCAACATTTGCAAACTTCGACTTTCTACACAAACTGCTACTGACCGCCCCCCTGAGGAAAAAAACAAGAGGTTTGTGACTGTCTATGTTCATATATTAATCGCTTTGGGATTTTATGTTATACAAAAAATAACCAATATTTGAGCAAACTACCCTTTTAACAATACCTAGATCATGATTACAATAAATTAATTCAAAGAAAATCCTTTTAATGCAAAAATCTCATCATAGAGGAACATCCAGAGAAGCTACTAACATTAGGACACTCAGGCTCTGGACTGGAGCAGCAAAAGTTAATAAAGGTGTTCCTGTGCATAAAGGGAAGCGTATACATGATTTAATAATATTAAACATTCATCACTACATTAAATCAAAATTTTTTTTTTAAATGTCTAAAATTAAGGGCACACTCACACTCAGGCACAATTGCTGTGGGTTCTATGTTCCACACTCACACTTGCACATCCGAACTGGGTCAAGGCCCAATGACATTATCACATGGCACTGTTTGTTTACATGTGCTAATGCTTTTAGCAGGGGAAAAAAAGTCCAGTGGCAGAAACGCAGTACAGAAAAAAGGCGTTACACCCACAAAGTACTCATATATAGCCTATATATATTGTAGCATAGTAGTGCATGTATGCATAGAGCTGCTTTAAAGTGATGATGTTTATGTATATATAAAATAAGAAACTTTATTTGTTAACAATTGCTATTTTGTCATTTGGTTCAAATTCAATTTAAATTTAAGAAAAGTGAGAGAGAAACATTGCTCTGTGTGAGCCAAGACCCACTACGGCTCCAGGCCCCCAGGACTCCAGACCCCCAGACCCACAGACCTCCAGACCTCCAGATCTCCAGCACAGGACATCGCATCTCACTCTAAGTCCACACACACACAAACACACACACACAGTAACACACACTAAAACAAACACCCATAAACTCACATACACACAATTTCACATAGACACACACTAACACAAGCACACTCACACAAACACACAAAGACTCACACACAACACACACACAAAGACTCACACAAAAACACATGCTCACAAAAGCACTCACACACACACAAACACATACACACACATAATAACAAGTAAACACACACACTATAGACATTGCTGTGCCCCTGTGGAGATATATGTTTCTGTTTTGAGTGGATCTGTTTTGTCCACTCAGAGCTACCTTAGCCGCCATATTGTTCCAGACTTTGCAGCAGTTCAGTCACTTGTTAAAATGTTAAAACCTGTAAACTCTGTCATTTGGCCCCATGAAAATATCTGTCTGTAAGTACTGTAATGTTATAAGATGTTAACTCACTCTGTGGACTCATGGGGGGCACTTAAGTTGTTTTACAGTTGAAATTTACGTTAAAATATAAGACGCTAATTGGATTAGCATGTCTATGGGAATTTCCATTAATGTTAGCAAGATGCTAATCGCTTGTTTTATAGACGTTTTTATGAAGTCCAGCTAATGTTAAGCTATTGTTTTGCATATATTGAATTGTACTGAGCTGCTTTACATAGTTTTATGTGGCTCTACTTATTCTATGTTCATTCAAGTGTGAAAACATAATTGTAATATGCTTTTTTTTTCTTTTTTCTTTTTTTTTTTATGTTACAGTTTTACAATCAACTCAGTAAATGCCCAAAACAGCAAGAGGCTTCCTGGTCTAACACTACTGGAGGCAGAATAGACATTATATTACACACCAGTTCCTCTGATTGGAACTAGCTGGCTACCATTGTGCACAAAATTAAGGTGTTTTCTTATAACTCTATTTGTGGAATAATCATCTCTGCGCACATTAGGGGAGTTTTGGCCTTGTGTACAGCATGGCTGCTACGTAACAGTTATGGAATTCCCTAGTGTGATGTAGAGTATAACATGTTACTCTAAAATTTACTCCCAACAGTTTTTAAGTTTACATAAAAACACAGAAATACTCTTGGGCCAATACTATGTAAACAAACTGCATATAATACCTGTGACTTTAGATTTGGAAATATAAAATTGAACAATTAATTTATTCTACTTTGTTTCCAGGTTGAAACATATCCAGTGAGATACCAGCCAGCACGTGCACTCACCTTCTTCCAGTGCTTCCCTGACCTTGCCGGCATCAGCGGACAGGTAGAGGTCTGTGTGCCAGGCCTTCAGGTAACCAATGGGACTGCCCCCTCCCGTCATGCAAAATCTCTCAATGAACAGATCTGAGGAGCACAGAAAAGCATGTTTAATAGTACACTTTGAAAAATATTAGTATTCAAAACAAGCCCCCAATTTTAAATACATATAGTATGCTAAATATATGATATGCAACAATATTTTAAATAATTTTACATTAAGTTTACAAACATATCAAGCTATGTTAAAGTAAACTGGCACATTTGCTAGCAGAACTGTTTTGAGCCTGGATGTAAATAGTCAAAGTAGAGGCTTGTCTCACATCTTCAGGAAGACTGTTCCAAGTTTTAGGTGCATAAAACTGAAACACTGACTGAAACTGAAACTACTAGCCCAGACAAGTCCCAGTTGTATTCTGAGCTTCCAATGTTTGTAAATTTCAAATGGCTAAATAGATGCAGTTAATTAAATATATTACTAGTATATGCAACAACATTTATAACTTGACAAAAACACACATATCCACTTATAAATTAGTGGGTACATTTGTAATTCCGTACGAGCCTCCAGTTGTATATCAAGCCCACAAATGTTTGTGAATAGCAAACGGCATTTGATCTGTAAAGAGTCTTTGTGACAAATGTCTGTGAAAAGTGCTATATAAATAAAAACTTACTTGCTTACTTACTCACTTACTTACTTACTTACATACTTATTATAACTTTTAGTGGATTTAAGTAAAGTTTAAGTGAAAAATAGCACATGAGCACATTCTCAATTTGCCCCCAATTTTATTTTTAAGAGGTATTGACATTTAATGCTTTAATCCTTTAACAGTATCAAATTGTAAATGTTATCAGAATCAGATGATGCTGGAAGGTTAAATGTGATGGTAAATTAGGATGAAGATCACGGTAATGGAAGTGACTATCCACATGAGAGGAGATGGTGCACGTAAGAGGCTGGTAAAGTGTCTGTTTGCATTTTGGCTCTGGCGTCACTTGACTGACTGCCCTGGCTTGATCCTGATCCCTGTAACTGAATCTATAGGATTACTATGAAGATGCCTTTTAAGGTGAAAAGTGGTGATATTTACATGTTGACAAAGTTATTAGGAGTCTACCATCCTCAAACAGAATCATGGTCCTAATCTGAGAGAAACCCAGTAAACCCAGGCTTCATGCACGTGGTGTAGCACCAGTGCAGTGGCCAAAATTATTCAGAATAATTCAAGGTAAATTGACGAGCTCAGTGAGCATGTATAGTGCAGTGGTATCGGTGATACCATTGGGAATCTATTTCTGCAGGACGCTGTAACCAACTGCAGCCTTTTCTCTAATAAATTCATAGTTCTTACTTGAACATGTGGCCTCATGCATTTAGCTTCAGCTCTGCTGAGCAGTTGTGTCAGTGACACAATCTGAGTGAGTGTTACAATAGAACAAAACCGCTCCCATGCTGCAGGCGCAGTCGCAGCTGGAGCAGGTGCAGTCTGAGGTGTTAGTACAAGTGATTTCAGGCACATTGGTTATTCTAGGAAGTATTTTAGTTCTGACTTTCCCATCAGCATATTTCACAGAAACATCCTGCTTGCCTTACTGACCTTCGAAAGCCGATATCCCTAAGTACATTTTATTGCTTCGTTGGCCGGTCCAAGAAGAGTTCTAATATGCAATATGAAGACAGGTCAATCCAATTTCAGGGAAGATGCATTTGCCTGAAGTACATGTTAACAAATGTTACATACCTGCATCTTACAGATAAATCTGAACATATCCCACTTTGTTCATAAACTTACAAGAATTCTTGTTGAGGCTAGAATTTTAATTATATTATTTTATTTATTTATTTGATTAGGACAGTACACTTTGATGAATATCTGTAATGACAGTGCAAATAAGATTTAACATTTATTATAGATTATAGCAGTATTAGTGCATATTATTGTTTTATTGCACTATGTACTACTGGGATCAACTAATTTCCCCAGTGCATCAATAAAGGATATCTGGCACATCGCATATGCAAACAACATCTATAGGGCCAATGGTCAGAAATTCAGCAACTATATATAGATACAATATAGGTAGTAGGGCCCGACCGATATATCGGTTGGCCGATATTACCGGCCGATATGGGCACCAGGAAACATATCGGCGATCAGCCTAAATCTTGCCGATATGGGCCTATATTTTGCGTGGGCATGTCATACCTCATTATAAAGTTTAGACTCTCTACATTATGTTCATTTAATCCAATTTACAGACAGATAAATGTCCTAATATGTGGCTTCGCTTCAGTATTTATCTACAGAATAATTTGTCTCTGTCTGTGGCCAACATACTGTCCCTGAACACACCCTCAGAGTCACGTCACTCACGTGCGCTTGTTTACACTCGCAGCCATAGATCCAAACACTGAGATTATATTCTTTTTACGGACAATCCATTTGAGTCAGGATTAAAAGGACATTTATTAGTGCAGACTTGTGATGTGAGTGTGAGCGGTCAGTGTTGGAAATGTGTTGATTTTGAAGCTGGTTTTGGTTATTTCTCATTGGTTAGCGATTAGCTGCTGTAGCTTCCATACAAAAACAGGCTGTTTTCTCTTCTATTGGCCTATTGTGAAGTGACTATATTGGTTGTATATATGTTACTGGACCAGCATTGATATGTAAATGAGCTGTGAATAGAGGTGTGAATGATGACATTTACGCTTATAATTATTTACCGCTCCGTGCACGCATTTATGGCTAAAGGCTAATAGCGGTAGTTTGCTTTCTTTACTACCTAATAGTGATGGGTCGGTTGTGAACGAAACGGCTCTTGAAGCAAACGACGGGAACCTGATCCTTATTGTTTTCTCTTTCTCTCACCCTCTCTCTTTCTCTCATTTTTTTTCTCTTCACACCGCATGCAGACTCGTGGTAGTTTGACAGCGGGCAGCGGCTGAAAATGAAACTTTCAGAAATATGAGTGTGCATAGATAGAAAAACTTGCATATTTGGCTGTAGTTCAGCATAAAATAAATAAACCAGGACTAATCTTGGGCTCGAGAGAGGGAGAGAGATAGAGACCGAGTCCCGACACTCAGTTCTGGTTCCGTTCTGGTTTAGTCCTGTTTTATACATGGTTTAGATCTGTTTTAGTCCTGGTTTAGTCCTTTTCAGTCCTGGTTTAGACCTGGTTTAGTCCTGCTTGCAATAAAACAACCTGAAGAGTCATTTGGGAACCGAAAGAGCCGACTGCTTTTAATGAGCCTAGCCAAAAGAGCCGGTTCTCTAAAAAGAACTGGAATACCCATCACTACTAGCTAGAATGTGATGCAAAAATGCCATTAGGCTGACTCTCTGTAAATATGATATAAAGAGGCAGAATAATAATACATTTTAAACCCAATTTAAAATCCACCAGAGTCAAAGTTTTTTAAACAATTCAAGATTTACAGTGAATTTTTACATCAGTAAAATATAGGCAATTATATCGGCTATCGGTAGCTCCAACTCTCATTTTATCGGTATCATATCGGCCGCAACTAATTCCATATCAGTCGGGTCCTAATAGGTAGTTCAAAACAGATTTCCCCTTCGTACCTCAGTAATAGTCACAGTAGAGTCTACTGATCCGGAAGTTGCCAGTTCGAATCTTGCTTCCAGCAGTTACATTGTCGATAGAGAGTTAACATCTACTGACACATAGATGAATACTGCCATTGTTTTCTTTGGCAAAACACTTAATGAGTGTGTGTATGTATGTGTGAATAGGTGAGTGGTTCCTTGGTGTAAAGCACTTTTAGGGCCTTGAAGGTAGAAAAGTGCAATTAAAACATGATGAAATCATTTTTTAAAAAATTAGTGATTTATCTACTATTGAATGCAAACAAAGCAATTAACAAACTGATATGTCAGGCTTAAATTATTTGTGCTTCGGCTGCTGTGTCATCCATTTGTGTTGTCCAGATGCACATAACTCATTCACTGACGACAGACGGAAAGACAAACTGTTCCCTGGAGCCCATGGGGACCACATCTATCAAGACAAGTTTCAATTTATTCCACTGATCCCTGCGTTCCTTTACACCACTCCAGCTAAACATCCAAGAACTTTCTTTTCAATGGAGCGTGGGAGTTGCTTTGGGAACTGGCTCTGTACTCTTCACAGCTCTGTAGTTTCTATGTTTTTCTGTCTATGCACCAGTGTTATCTTTCAATATGTGACTACCGTGTGATTATTTGCTTTGGAGATCTGAGATATGCTAATGACAATGCAGGAAGTAGAGGAAGGGCTACCACAAAATGATGAATATTGTAGTTGAACTAAGCTACCAAGCATAGTTGTGACAATACTAAAATTCCAAATGATAAGAAAAAAGGCTTGAGACTTGATACTCTTTTTTTTTTAGAATAGAATGTAATTATCCTAATAATAGTTGTTCTTATTTGGGACAACGGACTGAAATTAGCCTGAGGCTACAATCCGGTATGTTTACACTTCATGTTGTGTCATGTTTGTCCACTAACATGCTCTGTGCCAATCAAATACATAAATAAATATTTGATCAATACCAGTCTAAAACTGTTCAGGAAAGGGACGTTTTGTCCTGTTTATGTGTTGTTGTTGTTGTTTTCAGCATTGATACTTAAAATAGGTGTATAGTTTTAATACTAGTTTTAGTATCAGTGGGTATCTGAGATTTGATAAGCATAAGAATGATTGATATAAAAGTAAATGTACAATATATATGAGAGCATGTGTGTGTCAGCATATCTGTTGGAAAAAAGTGATTTCACATGTAAAACATTCTAAAAACTGTCAATCATTGTGTCCCTTGGGTAGTTTCATACAGGTTCATTATATAAAACTGCAATCATGCATGTTGTCACTCAGCAATTTACAAAAACAGATTTTTGACCTATATGAATAAGTGAATAAAAGAGAATGTCCTTGTAATCATGAAAATTTGTCAGATTTGGTTCATTATTTGGCAAACAAAAGGGAGTGTGTGATGTTACAATTTTGCAGCTTTTAAAAGTGCACACAGTCAGGCTTAAAACAACTTCAGTTTATTCCATTCTTCTTTTCATTCTGTTGTTGGCCACTAATAGTACATGCATATGCACTATTATGGTTAGCAGTAGAAGCCTGTACAAGGCTCAGTCCACAAGTCAAAGAGCAGGATACAAAACAATCAGAGGGTACACCAATTAAACCCTTTAATATGTTGTTTTTGCAAATGTAGCATTTTAAAAACAATTAAAGGTAACATAGCAATCTAAATATGTTGTGTTAGCAATTAATACCCCATAGTAGCTGGGGTCAGCTCTTTAATGACTGTGTGTCACATACTGGTACAATGCTGCGCATGTGCCAGGGGCACTGCCAGGGCACTAGTGACAAAAACATGGGTGAGGCTCTGAGCTGATGACAGGCCCCACACAGACCTGTTTTTGTTAATGGCTCCTGCACCATGTTGTGCATGTCCCACAGGAGCAGACCCAGGGAGAGGTTCGGAGAATCTGAGAGGAAGTGGTCTTTGAAGTGACATCACAGAGGCTGAGATTTTCCTCCTCTGCGTCCTCTCATCAGCTGTTCATACACTGGTGTTTGTCTGTCTCAAGAGCTCATGTCGTTTGGATGTTCTCACAAACGCATATGGGTTAGGACCTGGGACTGTCTGGGAAGTAGTGTTGAACCTGTTTATTTAGCCACTAATTAAGCTCCTTTGATAAAGTATCTACAATGCATTTTAATGGTGTGCTATGAACTTCTAGCAATGACTTATATGGATTATCACAGAAAAGTAGTATACTATTCACAATTTTGTTAGTCTCCACAAAATATTGCAATAAATATCGTACCGAGAATTGCATATCATGACAATATTGTATCGAGGGATTTGGATATCTATAATTCCCTACACTTTATGTGAGACACATGCATGAAAAGAAAGTGTCTTAAGGAGACAACGTCAGCACAGGTCAGATCTAGAATATTGCAAAACAAATCTTAATTATGTCAACTTTTATTCTCTGGATTTTAACACCGCATGAGTTGTGTGATTCTGTGCCCTTTATAGGCTGACTAACATACAACTCAGTACCTTCTTCATTGTGGTAGTAGTACTTGGTAGTATTTATACTGCACAGCCTCATTGTGAAACTTTTGCAGGACTCACTGTGGTGGTTGATGGTGTTGATAAGCCTCACTCCAACGTGGGCATGGTTGTACGTCACCAGAACAATGTCGAACAGTTCTTCACTTTGTGGGTAGAGTTCTCTGAGGCGAGCATTCACTGTCTCCAGAGCCTACACACAAGTACACAAGTAAAATTAGCAGCTTAGAATGGATGCAGTACTACTACCCCTATTAGGGATGGTTCATCAGTTATCAGTGATTTTCCTCAGATATTGGTATTGTTCCAAATATTGAAAATGTTGCAGATATTTGGCACTGATATTTTTTCTACACTGTATCAGTCTGTGTGTGCCTATGTATCATTCCCAGCTTGTACTCAGTGCATCAGATCTGTTTTTAACAGGCAATGGAAATAGAAGAAAAAATACTGCTCTGTTCTGTTCTGTTTACACATGTTGTTATTATGTTTACAAAAGATAATTTTTTTTTAACTTAACTCTAACATAAATTTTCAGTCTGGTATTGCAAATATCTGTTATTGACTACAACAGTATACCGGATAATGTTTTGGCTCAAAAAATCCGTCTCAGACCATCCCTACCAAACATATTTACGTTTCTTCTTTACTGACCTTAACGAAGGGAAAGGCCGGCCCCGGTGCAAATGGCTCGTTCTCATGTTCAATTTGATATCTCAGATACTCCTCGATGCCCTGTTGCTCAAAGACCTTCTGTTCCTTCTCAGTGCGGAACAAGACCCTGGTGGATACAGCGATGGTGACTGCGTGCTCTGGTCTGGGCTGTGAGGAGACATGTGGCATGTTTAAGTTATCAGCACGACTAAGAATAGATAATGCATTAAGAGTCTGAAGGGATGACCAATGCTTTCTTCTTTTGTCCGTCTGATAAATCATTCGTAAACTGAACAATGTCTACCATGTAGAGGCTGATATCTCACATGGCATGAAGGACAAAAAAGTATTATAGCACATATTAGGAAGGGCAAACCCATTGAGATGAGTCATTGTAGTCAAGTCTTTTGGCATTTGCTGAATTCTGTCATGTCCAAAACTTGTCATGGTTTAGATATCTGAAAAAAATACTGGTTGCTTAAAAAGAGGCAGCAACTATTTATAAAAAAAACGTAGCGGGTAAAAGTATAATTATAAAAGATAGAATTCACTCCCAAACTCCACACCTCTGTCATTTCATTTGGCATACATATAACCAATTAACTGACTAAAGAACTAAAGGCTTACATCCCCAGATTGGTCGAACTATATTCTTTTGGTTCACTTTACAAATTACTCAGAATTAATACATAGTTATAATTGACTACTTTGAACTACACAAATATATGATCATCAATATACATCATATACAACTTGACTTGAAAGCAACACAGACTCATTTGCATTAATGATTATATAAAATATTCATTTTAGCATCTGAGGATTGGGATTACATGACACTATCAAGGTCAATAGCAATACTTTAAGTCTTTATCATGATTGCAGTCTCCTAACAATGCCTTCTCTCAATGGGACTAATGGGTAGTGACTTTTTGAAATGTCTTGCTGACATAGTGATGACTTGAGAAGCCCCGGTCTCTCTGCCCTGTTGCAAGCTGCCTATGGCCTCATGTTGTGTCCTTTAGACTATTTACACTGGTGTGAGGTTTCTGGGGGAGGGGCATTCCACGAGGGGCACTAGGGCACTCACCATTGCCCACATCTGAACCCTGTGAAGCCTCAGAGGGCCCCAGGGAGAGGACGGACTCATTTAGAGAACAAAGACCAGCTCCTAAAGTGGCAAGAATGCACACGACAAAGCACAATGTAAGCAAAAGGAACAGGTGCAAAACTCAGTGCATGCGTGTAGTGTCTTCGTCATGCAACAAGCTATTCTCAAGTGTCAAACTAAAAATATTAATATTGGCACAATAATAAAACTGTCAACGATAGCCTAAATGCTAAAAGTAATTAGGCCCTCACCGGTGAGGGACTAATTCATATTGTACCGAAATGCCATAAAATGCAAAAAATCAAGTAGTAAACCAGACCGAACACGGCAGTGACTGTTGTAACAAATTTGAACTTAAGCAGCTCAGATTTTGAGTGACGATCCTCAATCAAAATACTGAAAGGCAATTCAGTGGTACCATCTAAAAATCAGTTTTCAAGGGGCTAATGGGAGCTTGTCCAGAAAAACAATCTACTTAAAATCTGAAAACTCAGCAACTAAAAAATTTAAATTATGGCCCTACTTTAAACCATATAGGAAATCTGCAATACTGGATCAAACCTGATCAAACAGTTTTCATCAAAAACATTTCAGACTTGGCCAAAAGATACAAAACCCATGTGCAATTTAAGATTATCAGCTATATTTGTGATACACAGTCGAGCGTGGTTTTTAGATTTTTAAATTTATTTTATTTTTTTATCTAGCTTTTAAACATTTTAAAAACAACACAAAATAGAGTGTGCATGCAGGTTTGTAAGATAAACACAATGATATTAATATCAAGTTGCTGTCTAAGAAAAGGGCTCTCAAGTGCCTGCTCAAAGTTTTACTTTTTTAATTCATAAAATAACCTGTTTGCCTATGTGACACAGAACAACATGTCAAAGTCACATTAGTCTAGTTTGTTTTTTTTTCTTCTTTTTGGACACAAATAAAAATAAGCTCAAGCTGAATGGACAAGAAAGTATAACACTATACATACATACATACATGCATACATACATACATAATGTAGGCAGAGATAGGAGGCAAGCTCTTTGTGATGGCATGTACCTCGCAGTCGCAATAGCTTAATGTTAACAATAGCCTAATTGCTATTGGTAATGAACTTTAAAACTGTATTGAAATTATAACAGTAATTAATACTGTTAGTTTAAGTGTTTTTGAATGTTGTCATGTATTACAAAATGAAAGTGTGCAGATAAGCTTTAAAGTGGTAACATCAGGCTACGTAAATTATTCCAACATGTATGAACAAACAGCCTGCATTATTAAAATACTGTCTGGACAGTCCACAGTTGTGGATACACACGCACACACGCACACACACATACATACATATATAAATGATGTTTTGTTTGTTGATTCAGCAGAAATCTGTTTTTTAGTCCTGTGTTATCCCTTTTCTCCCTTTTCCCCCTTTTTATGTGTAAAACACCATGTTTGTTTTGACACTTATGGACCAGTCATTCTGATTGGTTAAGTTGCTTGTCAGTCATGCCTATGTGAAATTGGGGAGATAGGATGCAAATGGTAGACAACTGGCTGGAATGCTGTTGGCCATCACATTGCTATCGCATTGCGTACTGTATGTGTCATAGAATTTGGTAAAGCTATGCAGAAAAATAAATAAATAAAAACTGGTGGTATATACAACTAAGACCTTTTTTCAGGATATGACATGAAAATGGGAAACATACAATAATTAGCTCTTGTGTGGGTTCTGCAAGACTGTGGACTGAGAGTGCAGGTCCAGGTGAGACGTGGGTTGGCAGAAAGAATCCACACCACAGAGCACACCACACCACAGTGTTCTGGAGAGGTTTACACATCATTAGACATTTGTTATTGCATGAACCTGGGTGAACTCACACACTGCAGTTGTTGTAGTTAGTGTAAGAAGGAGTCTGTAACCCACTCAAAGTATGTGCCAAACCCGACCTACAGTCAGAGTAACTAAGTAAGTAAGACTTTATTCATAGATCACCTTTCACAGATTAAAAAAAAAGGTGCTTTACAGACTGCAATAAACAACATGTACACAAACAGAGGAATTACAGACACAGTCAACTGAAAGCTTGTCTAAATAGCAGTGTCTTGAGCTGCTTTTTAAAAGAGTCAGTAGACTGCGCCTCACGGAGGGCTAGGAGTAGGGCATTCCATAACTGGGGGGGCCACAGCCTGAAAGCACAAGTTGCCCCGTGTTTTAAAGTGGGTCTTTGAGACCATCAAGATCATAGGACTGGAGGGTCCAGCCTGAGGTGTAGGGGTGCAGGAAGTCACTGATGTACTGGGAGCCTGTCCATTTACAGTTCTGAAAGTTAAAACCATGATTTTAAAATGAACATGGAAATTAACAGGAAGCCAGTGCAGTGAAGATAAAATTGGTGTGATATGTGTTTGCCTGCTAGCTCCATAAAAACCTTGCAGCTGTGTTTTGTACAAGTTGCAGCCTCTTAAGTGTGGATGCATTAAAACAAGTAAAAAATGAATTACAAAAATCTTAACAAGATGATATAAAAGAGTGAACAATGATCTCAAGATCAGCATTTGATAAAACAGGTCTCAGGTTAGTGATGTTACGTAAATGGTAAAAACAGTTTTTAACCACTTGGCTACAGGGACCCTCCAAAGACACTGATTTGTAAAATAGCACTCCAAGATTTCTAATGTTGGATTGGAGTGAGGGGCTCAGTGAGCCAAGGTGATCCTTAATTAGAGTATTTTTTTTTCATCTGGTGCTAGAATAAGGGCCAGATCTTGCCCCTGATCTTAGCTCTAATACCATTGTTAAAAAGGGGCCATGTCCAGGTCGGGCTGTACTGGAGGCTGCAGTGGAACGGTACAAGTAGATACATGGTGATGACATCTGCGCCCCTTTCCCGCATATGCAAAACTGTAAGCCCATGCATGTGCACACCCATCAAGCTTTTTGGTTTTCTCTGCATTCCTCTGTTCGTTTGCCTCCCATTATGCAGCAGACCAGCTCACCGATGCTCTCACCCTGGTCGCACCCGCTCCCACCTGTCCTGGCAGTCTGCTACCACGTCTCTCACTATTTGGTCCCACACAGGTGGATGTCTCATGGATTATGGAATACCTTTAATGTCATATAACCTAAATGTTTAAGATTTTACTGCTTTGTGCGCAGACATTGATTAAACACATGAGGAGGGTGACTGCATGACCTGAATTTTCCCCGCACAAGTGACTGAAATGCACCATGAGCACACAGAGCAGGATGCGCAGGTGTCTGTACAGAGCAGTACTCATGTGCACTATATACACCTCTTGAGCCCCTGTACAAAGCTTTACTGACTGCTGTTGCAGAGAACGCAGCACATACGAGACGTGTGTCTGCTCCGCTGTCACAGCCCCAAGCTGTCAATGAATGCACGCGCCAATCCCTGTCAGAGTCACGCTTGAAACAATTCACAATTTGACACCACAGGTCACTTCAGACATGACATCATTGATAGAAACAGAAAAGGATGTATCACTCAAATCACTATCACTCAAGGAAAAACAATCTAGGACTGTCCCACTGATTCCAGAGTCTCTGTGCAAACAATGCAATAACATTTTGTGGTCTACAGTATCAAAAGCTGATGTGAGATCTAACAAAACCAACACTGTATAGTGGCCAGACTCCGCCGCAATCAGAATATCTTTTAAGACCTTCAGAAGTGCAGTTTCTGTGGAATGCCGACTGCGGAAGCCTGACTGGAATATATCAAATAAGTTATTACCATGCCAGAAGTCTGTTAACGGTTTTGAAACCACCTTTTCAATTATTTTAGATAAAAGTTTGATATTAGCCTATAGTTTTTAGGCTCAGTCTAATCCAAGTTTGGCTTCATTAAAATGGGACTAAGCAGAGCTTGTTTGAAGGAGCTAGGAACTGAGCCTGTTTCAAGAGACACGTTAACCATGTTAGTAACATGTCCAAAAAGGTCTAATGCCTTTAAAAACAGTGAATGTGGCACCACATCTAGAGGGCATATGGATGGTTTCATACTCTTCATTATGCCAATGACATCATCAAGACTAACAGGGGAAAAAGAAGACCAACAACTGTGATTTATATCATAGGAAAAGGCCCCAGTCACAGATGTTATGCTAGCCCTGATGTCCAGCTTATTTACAAAGAACTGTAAGAATTTATTCGGTGTTAAGCTGTGATCAAATGATGTGAATATTCAAGTTCATGGACTCAATGCAAACTCATCACTTTCACCTCGATCATCAATGTAACTGTCTCATCCATCACAAACAGGTTCCTTTTATATCAGGAAATCAATGCAGTGGTCAGTTTGGGGTCAAAGGCGAAAGTAGCATGGCGTGGGAACACAGCAGTTCTTCCGATACAGTGAGTACAGAGTGATTCACAAGTAGCACATTCCAATGTAAGGATGCGGGTAGTTAGTGCAGGGCATGTCTGTGATCATGCGGGTAAATGTGCAGCCACCAGGGGGAGTGACAGGCATGGACACAGGGACCTGACATGACGACGCAACATACTTACGAAAAATACTCCTCCCTCCACTTTCCGTGCACGCCGGCCTGTCAACTTAGCACAACAACATTTTGGTTTTATTCACTTCACATTTACAAAAAGATGAGTTAATAATAACGTGCCTGATTGGATTGTCTTAGTTATTGCCTGAGAAAATTAATAGATTATACTTTAGGGTCTCAATTGTTAGCAGATTTTAACCATACAATGCATGATGTAAAGAGCATTTATCTTGACAATCTTAAAATAAAATCAGGATCAGGTCCATTAAGAATCATGGAAAACTAACTGTCCGACACCATGTCAGACTCTTGGTTCTCTGTCATGGTGCATTTTCAAAAGTGACAAAAGTAAGTAACAAGATGAAGAAGACAGGGCTAAATGTTCAAACTAAAACATGTTTCTGATACATGGTTTGATACAGGGCCTTTAAGATGGTGTTTTTAGGATGGGAACAAGTTGCTCTGGTTTAGCTTTTTGAGGTACAAGACCTTTCGTGCAGCTTTTCTGTTAGAGTCAGTTTACTCCGTGAATAACACCTTCTGGAATAGATCCCAGCTCAGGATCCTGTTTGAGGCTGTGTACTGATACTACTGGTGTTATATATCGGTTCCTTTAGCTCTTCACCACTTTTTTTTAAATTTGCTGTTTACAGAAACAACAATGCAGCAATTTGAACCAGTGACTGACACTGGGTTATGTAATGCTTCTCTCTTATGTTGTCTTAGAGCAGAGCAACTCAATACCACTGTCTGTGTGGATAATGTGTGGGGCTGATCCAGGGCATCTGGTCCTCCTGAGACACAGGGATGAGTACATGGGACAGTCCTGTGGCACTGACTACAGGGAGCATAGGTGCTAGAGTGCACAGACTGCACCCGGCTGGGACAGTGACAAACTCTGGCTGATATTTATAGAGCAGTGAAAGGCCAGAGCTGATGTAGGTCTTGGTGGATTTGGTATCACACAACCATGGTTTAACACCAAGGCCTAAACACCAAGCTATGCTGTCAAAGCTTATAAAAGCTAAAGTCGTTAATACAAAGATAGAATGGAAAGAGTTGAAGCACTGAAGGGCAATGCTGCCAGTTTAAATATATACAAATCCAAATGTGGCAGATTTTGAACTTTAATCCATACATTGAAAACAATGCTGTCAAACTCATCATGAATCCATAGTTTACAGAATTATAAATCATATTTAGGAACTGCTGCCTTCTTGAATCCTGAATCAGATTCATGTGATTTTATTGCACCAAATCACAGATAATATTTCTCAATAGATCATGAACAATACAGAAAATGAGACTATAGAGTTAGAGTATAATGTCATTATATAAAGCTGAGCAATTAAATATATTAAGATTAACCGTCTCTTGTTTTATAGGGAGATTACTATTGTTACAATAACAGTTCAATGGGGGTCACTGCTGAAACAATAATCCTCCACTTGAAACAGATTACAAAGTGTTTTGATACTTTCCAGAAAAAATATAAAGGATATTTATTTTTTTACTGTCATTGTTTTTGTTTGAACCTAGTTCAACAGAATAGCATTCTTCCATCAGTAGGCTCTTTTTCTTTCTTTTGTTGCAGATAAATCTTGATTTGACAGGTTTGTATGTCTCATGCCCTTTCTGTGACTATCAGCAACATTCAGTTTAGTATAAATTGTGACAATCTATGAGAGAACTATTATAATATGAATATGACGAATGAATGTAAGTATTACTACTTCTGGTATCTCCCATTATTATGTTACACCTGGGTGAAGAGATGTTGGGGAACTTGAGGACACCCTAGAGCTGGGGACCACCCCTTTGAATCTAGTACTAACACAAAACATTAAAGTGTGATTAACTGAGCATTTTATATTTATTTTATGTTTATTTTTATTTAATCTTATTCCAACTTTTAGTACAACACATTAATCCAGTTTTGACATTATGAGACGCAAGCTGCCTGTTTCCCTATGCAACTCTCCTATTTTACACTATGGCAAAGCAAATTAGAACACCATGGCCCACTGAAATATTTCTAATTGTCAAACATACACAAACCTGACCACTTGTATCCCTCATTACTTACAAGATATGATCCATACTTACAGACTTGGGCTTGCTGTTGTTAAGGCACTCCTGGCTGTTAAACTCTTGCTTCTCTTCCCAGGATGCCTTGCTTTCCCCATTAGACGATGTTGCCACTTTGAGCTCCTTGACTTGCGCACTCACCACCTGTACCGGGTCCAAACTCATTTTCACCATAGACAGCCACTAATACAACTGTCCTTTCCCGTAAGTCCTTTATCGCAACACCTGCTCTCTGGCAACCCAAAAGTCCATGTCTTAAATTGTTCAATGTGCAAGTTTAGATGCTACTACCACACAAATACAAAAACTTCTAGACTACTCACTGCACTAGAATGAAGTAATATTCCATGTAAGATTGGACACTCCTGCTTTCAATCCAAGAGTTATCCTGCTATCTCTTTAGCTTTGGTAAATTCCATCCTTTTAGCGCAGTGTCCATCTGCCGTTGCCTAGAACTCCTACCCCCCCCCCACCCCTTTCCGACTTTCACCCAATGTCCCATAGACAAACAGCCTGGCCCACATCCAGGATCAAGCATGCCCCTCCCTCAATCCCGCCCTCAGCCAATCAGTGGCCTACTTCCTTATCCAGCTGGACACACCCTCTCTGCTTTGCCCTGTGACAGTAGAGGCTCATGGGATGTTAAGGCACATGCTGCGCGCACTGCAAAAATAGCCATCACACAGAGACATTTAATCCATGCACAGGCTACTTTGATCGGGTTACTTTGACTAGAAAAACAAACCTAGTATGTGTAATAACTTAATTATTTTCCAATGACGACTTTGGAATCGTGAAAAAAGGAATGTCAGTCAATCTCTTAGATTGTGCTTGTTTGTAGGCATTTCATGACCTGTTGGTATTCCAAGATCAATACATTGATTCTCTATAGACAAATCTCTCTCTGTGTAATTTTGATTGCTATACATCTTTCCACATTTAATTTATGATTTGGTATTACCAAGGAATTATTCTTTTGATGTCAATGTAATATACAAAAATAACTCAATCTTCCAATAATAATAATAATAACAAAGATACAAAAATTCTACTGCGTGATACCTCTAGCTCAAATACACTGAGTCAAAGAAATAATACATACTGATCATTATGTTATTAAAGCATTTACTCTATCTTTCTGGTGGGGGCGCCGCTACGTCCATGTCACCATGGAGGTGTTATTGCTGTCCCTGGAATGTTCTACAGTCTGTTGTTTAAGTGAATAATGATATTGATGTTTTCATGTTCTTCTGTTATCACCTGGGTTTGCATGATAGTTTTACTTCTGTGTACAAATATTTTAATTTCTTTTTCACTTGCCTGCAATAAGCTGACTTGATGTGACAACACAAAGCCATTCATAAACAGGCTTAATGAAAATATGGACCAGTTAGTTTGATTTCTCTTCAGAGTATGCTCCTGTTAATATCTTGTTAATGTGTTCATCTGCAACAGTGTGAAAGTGAATTTGCTGCAGTCACTTGGTCGATATCACCTGCCTGTGTTCAGCAGCAGCTTCAGAGTACAAGCTGACATTTAGTGGCAAATGTGTTTTGTGACACAGCTCACCTCGTCACGGTTATCCAGACATCAGTGGAGCACACATTCGCTTTCAGGAGGAGGAGAACATAGAGTGCAGTGAAGCTGAAAATGGACTGTACTGCATTGAGCCAAATTAAAATATTGCATTGGACCAAAGTAAAATATTGCTTTGGCTTTCATTTCATTGCACTTAGTGTGTCTGGTGTTAATATATAAATATATATTTGTTGTGAAAAATGTATTATGCTTTTTTAGTTTGGTTCAAAGCATGGCCTTTTCAGTGTAGTGCACTTTCAATGTACATAAAAAATATATTATATTGATACTTTGCAGTGTTAGATAGAGTAGATAATATTTTATTATCATAGACACAGTACACAGACATTACACAGAGACATAAACATACAGGTCAGTGTAAAAGAGAGTGTCTTCTGCTCATCATAACATCACTGATTTTATGGCTCAAGCTCCTTATCTGGCTTCCGGATAGACAGACGTATGAAGGACTGTCTAAGCCTGACATCATGCTGGGCAGCTGCATTTATGTCTTTGGAGAATTGTTAAGCAGTTTTAGTGACACACACTTTAAATAATTTCCCTTGTGGATCAGTAAAGTTTGTCTAAGTCTAAGACACTGGAAAAAAACAAAAACAAAACTTTATAGCTGTGAGATGCCATAGCACAGGACTGCTCTCTTGAGTGCTTGTTGAAATGATCCTTTAATGTGTAATATCTATGCACAGGGGAACAGTATGGCTCACAGGGTACAGATCAGTATTGGGGGTTAATTAGCCTAAAGGTAGTGGCTAATGGATGTCACATTCATTAAACCAAGGTTGGACTCCAAATGTGCAGAGAGACACTAATGGTTCCACCTCTGTAATGACACTGGACACACACTCCAAGGACAACTGCATGTACTTTTATCTTGTATCACATACTTTATCCCACTAAAATGATTTTTGTGCATCTTTTATTTGATCTGTTTCAATACATTCTGTAGTCCGTAAAATCCCTAATGTTAAAGGTCCTATATTATGCAAAACTGACTCTTGTGAGCTTTTAGCCACGTTATAATAACCTTTGAGTAACCCTTTATTATTAGTCTGTCTACCTTTCTAAAGGTTAAAATGCTCTGTTCCACCTTCTGATGTCATGAAGAGGTAGTTTTCAAGTCTTTTTACCTTTAGTTCAGTAGAGATTGGGAATTCCAGGACTGAAATGATCAAAAATGGTTCTTGTATTAACACATGACATCACGAGGTGGAACAAAGTGTCCGTGGGAGAGAAGAACTCGTGTGAATGGAACAAAGCACAACTCCATATATGTTTGTGATGAGAAAAATACATTATCATGGTTTGATTTTTGATTGTAAGATATCAGTTGTCAGTTTTGTGGACTAACATGACTAACAACATAGAATATATATGAAAGAAAAAGCACTGTAAGAACATACTGTAATTTTCACATCAGAGCACTCACTATTCCATGCAGATGATTAAAATGTACTAGAATCAAGAGGGCTTATGACTCCATCTTGTGGCCACTCTGCAAACTGCACTTCATAACTTTGACCTCTATTGTTGCAGATGGAAAAACGTTACATCTTTCTCTCTCTGCAAAGACATCTGTGTGTGGATTTGTTTGGCTATTTTCGATGATGCCTTTTACACTGGGACAAAGTCTAATTCTGCTTGTCTTCAAAGTGGTTTGCTGTTGAGTTTTATGTTTTGTGTTTAATGCACATCTGAACAGAAAAGCAGGTGTAAGTTTTTCTTTTCTTTTTTCTTTTTGATTAAGGCCTAGATAAAACTATGATTATTTTATTAGCTCAATGTTATGACACTAAGCAAAATTTCAGGAGAACATTCAGTAATCTCCATCAACAAAATGTAAGTATGCATGGCATAATATTGCAGTCCTTGGTATGAAACAGCCTAACTATAGCCATTAGACTTTTATGTACACATTCGTGCATTTTTCTGGTACCCCATCCTTGGGCGGTTGTCATGACAACACCAAACTTGACATCATTGCAGTGGTGTGACATCATTCAGTGTTGATGACTCATACTTAATTCAGTGTTTGTATTGAAGGAGAGTTGGTTATAGGCAAAAACAGAAAATAGCACTGAAGTTTGTCATCAATTTATTCTATGTAACAAAAATAATTACAGTGTGTTTGATCTATGAGCCTAACAATTGTAAAACACTGAAGAGAAAAACAGATTTACAGGTACATTACAGAGGCATGATGAAGGAACAGAATGCTATTGCACAACACAGTTTCCTTGTCAAAAATAAAACAATATTATAGCTTATATCACAGTCCAAGGGATAACAGCTTCGTCTATTCTTCTCTATCTACACTATGGCTATTACTTTTACATTTGTCACTCTTTGGCACACTAAATGTAGAACACAGTACCGGTCAAAAGTTTGGACTCACCCTCTCAATGTGTATATATATATATATATATATATATATATATATATATATATATATATATATATATATATTATACCTTTAACTTTGCTATAGATAATCCCATCTTATTTCATATATTTCATGTCTTCTGTATGTATATCAAATGTAGAAAGTAGTAAACAAAGAGGGTGAGTCCAAACATTTGACTGGTTGTGGAAAAGTGGCTTAGAATCTTTACAGCCAAAACAATAAAATAGAATTTCTAACAGTAGATAACATTGACGCTTGAGAATCAGTTGTTTTGCTAATGTGGACGGACAGCAGCTAATTGTCGGAGAAATATAGTCATCAACGCAGTGTGCCGGGGTAATTTTGCGAGCCAATCAGATTTGATCAAACTATTCTGACCTCAGTGATGTGATTAAGGCTGTCTAAGCAGTAATAGAGTCAAAGGGTGAAGCGTGAAATGGACTGCTATTTATCCAATGCTCATTTGAACACATCAGACAGTTTGAAGTGCTTAGCGTCATTGTCTGGCATCATACTTAACTTCACATTAAATGATTTAGCTTCAGTAAAAGTAAGGGATTTTTATATGACAGGTCATACCTATTTAAAATAAACTGGTTTCAATTTATTACAAAGTATTGACAAAAATTGGACTACTAAATGGTATGTGAGGTCTACCTAAGTTTTCTAATTCTGGTCTGGGAAGTCATAAGAAATACATTTAAAGTTTGGGTACCATTTTAAAACAACTGCCTGTTATTTAGCCTTAATAAAGTTAATGGACAAACAGGGTTTCAGATTCTACAATGTGATGATCTCATACTCTCATATGGATCGCTGAAATACCGAAAATGTAAATTTGCTGAACTTGAACATTAATTGTAGCTGCCTCCATCTGTATTAAATATTATTGATCTATAGCGAGAACAGGGGTGTCCAAACTTTTTTCATCAAGGGCCACATATCAAAACAGAAGCAGTAAAAGGGCAATCAACGGCCACAGACTGGTGCTCAGAACAATCAATATTTGAAATATGTGCATTTATAACAGGTTGGAATGAGATTTCTTTGACTTTATTCAAGCTTAGCTCCTCAAAAGGACACACTAAAAATGTGATATTGGCCTTATCAAGGTAGATTTATTAGAAAATAGAAAACCTGGTCTGAGGACTGCATTTGGCTCCTATAGAATTGTGTGATAAAGAATTATTCAGGCTTATTTACTATTCTTTACTTTATTTTACTACTTAGTACTTTACATACTTAGCCTGAATCACCTTTATCTTAAAGGGACAGTCCGCAATTTTGGACAGAGGACCTCATTTCCTAGTTAGCCAGAGGAGACATGTGGAGACACATTTTTAAATATCCCATCCAGTCCTTTATATACTTAGCCTGAATCG